CTCCCCCCCGAACAAATTATGGTAGACCAATATAGACGACCACGAAAATAACTGAAGGTCTATGGAAATTCCTAACTTCATGGACCTAGTTGTCTATGTAAAAAAATATATCTTATTTTCGTGTAAAATATGATATCGGTCAAGGTCTGGTCTAAAGCAAATTTTAATAGGCCTATAAATATAAGAAATCTTTATTCCACAGACATATTTTCTATGTTGTTTGAGATAGAAATTCTAAGACTGAACCCCCTACCCCAAGTCTTTAACAAAGTGTTCAACCCAGAAGACACACAAGACCTTATACCACCTTCTGTGATTTGTGGGCACCAATGCCAAGACACGGTCAAAGTGCGATTCAAACCCAAGACCCTCCAAATTCTAGACAGATGCTCTCACTAATTGAGCTACATGGTCGCTGGTTATTGACCTAGTTCTGTTCCATTACAGTTCAAACAAAGACAATTGGCACAACTTTTATAAATGACTTGTAAATTGTAAGTACTTATACTATTGCTAGTATATTGATGAATGATCTCCCTTCTCAACACAGTAAGGTGTTTGATACTCTATATCAGTAATTTATATTTGATAAAAATAATCAAAGTAGAATTTCATTTTGTAATCTTCCCAGTAGTGAATACTTATATTATGGTGACATAATTGATATTTAACGACCAAACAAGTTGACACAAATCATAATGTTGATAGAATCATTATGTGATTATGAATTATTTATTAAGTTTGGAACAAAGGTTATTTTTAAAGCCCTGCATCTAAAATAAAAATGAACCTTGTCATTTCTATAAGGTTGATCAATACATTTGATAGATTACATACAGTACCTGGTGAGGAAATGTTCTTCCCACACCTAGGAAAAATCTAAGGGCAAACATTCTGTTTTAAATATTTGTTTTATCAAAATAAAAGACATAAAAAGTATATGAAATAAACACTGTTTTCATTGAAAATGAAGCTGTTGACATGTTTAAACGAGGGCACTTTCCTATCTTATCAAAATAATTATTTGTACAAAGGAATTTATCTAATTGTTTTTGACATTCTGTATTGGAGAAGGTACATGTATGATGTCCTGAAGTAGAGAATGATTTACTGGGTGATGTCTAGGAGTGCAGTAAACAGTTATATGGTAAGAATACATTTATGCATGTAGACATCTATTTTTTCCCCTCACAACATTGTGGAGGAGGCGTTATATATTTGCCTTTCCTGTCAGTCCATCCATACCTCTGTAGACTTCTTGGTTATACTTATAATTGAGTTATATTTCTCTAAAACTAACAGTCTCAGTCTTAGATAATCTTGAATAACACTACACCAATATATAAAATATTATTATACATGTACTTTATCTTCATATAAAAAGTTATGTGATGGTGTTAAATGGATTACAAATCAGCTCGGACAAATCTTAGTTAGTTAAGGGTATGAAAAGAAATAGAATTATAAAATATTTAGCATATTTATATTTGTATCTCAAACTGCATATTATATTTATATAGAAATTTGCATTGATTGGTTTACTTTTTTCATTTTAGTGTTTCCTGTTTTCTTGGGACAAGACTGGGATTCAAGACTCATTTTAATTCTATATTTTGGCTATTCTTTTTTCAGCTTATTTCATCTGGTCAAGAATATTTCATTTTTTTTTAATTTTCAAAAAAGAATAACATTGTATAGAAAAAGGAATTAGATTTGTGGTCATGCAAAATTAAATGTAAGGGCTGTTTGATTAAGGCCATTAAAAAAAAAGAAGACATTCGGTGGTTAAGAGACTTGTGTTGTGGATGAAGATTGTTTGAAGGAGTGCACTAGCAGTGAACATAGAGTTCTTAGTGACTGATGGCATCGTTTTGATCTACGGAGTGTTATCTGTCAGCAAGGAGAGTACAGTTGAACGTGTGACTGTCGTGCTTTCAGGAAGTTTCAACAAAGATGTCCAAATCAAATGATGACTGTTTTTACTTCTTCTCTTCGTCGTGTGCAAAGGTTGGTTTAACATTCGTTAGTTATTTACTGCCGGCCAATCAACTATAGAATCATAGAGTGTCAGTAAGATAGTAGACAAGTATGTGTCTCCTATACATCTAACTGACACTTTATATATAAATCTATTCTGTCGGAAACAGTGATTTTTGTAGAAATTTGCGGGCAAGTCCCAAGTCCTTTACCTCTTTAACAAAATTTTGAAAAGTTAGGGAGTCCAAAAGAAAAGGCAAGAGTCCAGGCCTCAAAAATCTGTGCCCCAGAAATTGCTGAAGAAATGATATACGGTTCTCCTTTTATCCTTAAAACACTGGACGACAGTTTTGTCTGCCTTTTGAGTCTTTGCTGACTAACCATTTTGCCCCTTTTTGTATCCAGCTCCACATTGATGTTCAAACTGCCCTGTGATTTTTGTGTGATTTTTGTAAGTCAAAGATTTTCATGCATATATGGAAACATGGCCTTCTTATATGGCACCACCATGTTTCCCTCTATTTTATTACACACTTACTAATAAATACGTTTTTTTTTGTATATGCGATACGACACAATTGCTCTTAACCATATCAGCCCACTTCGTATCACACCCCAAAAGCTGTATCACCCCCCGCCGTATCACACCCCAAAACCTGTATCAGCCCGCAAAACCTTTACACACCCCTTTTGGAAATTTTTCGTTTTTCAATATTTTAAAAGAAAAATATATCATAAGATAGTAGCTTTTATTAGTAAGTATGTAATAAACAGAATAAAGCATGCCTTTTTCCATATCACCCCCGGTATCAACCCTCGACCAATATCGGCCCAAGGGCCGATATTGCAGTCTCGGGTTGATACTGGGTGTGATATGGAAAAAGGCATGTATTATTCTCTATGTAATACTTACCATATATGGACAGTTAAACGGTCACCATGTGACAGCTCTCTTAAATCAATGATATTTTGGATATTCTTGAACAACTTTGAGTTGTAAATTGTCGATAGATGGTTTACATCATGAAGTGAGACTTTATAAATTGGTCATAGTACTGATGTCTTAGAAGTTTTAAACCACTATTTCTAAGCATTTCTTTTCTTTCTGAGTTTGAATTAAAAACTAACGAGCCTCCAACATGCGGTAATACTTTCATTGTCAACAATATTACAACATTAGCAGCCAAATGATACCTCAACTCTTGAGTTATCCTCCTTTTCACTAACAATGCTGTAAACTGGAAAAAGGAAAGGTTAAATAAACTGATAGTCACTGAATACTTGAAAATCGAATATTGATGTTGTGTTTGATATACAGGGAGACCAATGTGTGTACCGACACTGTGAAGCTGCCCGGCAGAGTACTGTGACCTGTGTATACTGGAAACAGAACAGGTGTAAAACTGATGATTGTCGATATCGTCATTCAGAGACCATCGAACCAATCATAGTAAGTCTGAAGTCCTACGTACAGGTCTGCTAGTTATAGATCATGTGTTTATACAATTGTTCAATTAAATTGTGTGATACTGCCACTGTTTTTATTCCATATCAAATATTTGTGTGATAAAAGGTTATGACAAAGGAAATGTTAATAAAGGAAAAAAAAAGGAACATTGGAAATATTTATATCAAGCCAGGATGCTATTTAAATGATAGGCATTATATTGAAGTTTTGTTATACATATTTGCTGTGTGTGTTTGCAGCAGAACAAAGCAGAGTTGCCATGCTACTTTGAGAGTATTGCTAGTGGCTGTACCAGACCAATGTGTCCTTTTCAACACCTAAAACCTCGACCCAAAAACATACCCAAGACTAGCAGCAGTAGCGCCAACATTATCACCCTAGGTTTGTATATCAATTAATCACCTACACCAACATTTTCACCCTAGGTATGTATGTCAATCAATCACCTACACCAACATTTTCACCCTAGGTATGTATATCAATCAATCACCTACAACATTATTATCACACTGGGTATGTATATCAATCAATCACCTAGCTTTTGAACAATGTTTTTAACCTTCATCTTCAGATGGTATGATTTTTGCTTTTCATCCATGGTCAGGCGTCTGTCCGTCACTTTGACTCGGTCAATTATCGCGATGTTTTTTCACAGAAACTATGTTAGGGACCATGATTAAACTTGGCATGCTACATCCCTTGGTTTACATTTGTGCAAACTGCCATTTGAGATGGATATCAAAAAAGCAAAGTGGCCATCCGGCAGATATCTTTGATTTTGCATGTGAAATTGTTAATGCTGTTTGTGTTTGTCATAAACATGGGATCGTAGTTAAACTTGCTAGGCATAATGAAAGGGATCATGATAAAACTTGATAATATGCTCCCCTTGTCCATAGCTGTGGATGCTTTCATTTGAGATCAAGTTTGTTACCGTTACTTCTCACTACTGAGCTACTGAAGGGACCACAACAAAAGCATGAATATTCATCTGGATAAATGGCCATTTTTATTTTTTTTGGAAAGCGAGTATGTCACAGTGATCAACCATCTAGTGTCATGTTACTCATTTGGTTTGAATACTTTTTTCTCTTAAGCTCTAATGGCTGAGCATTACTTGACTAGAGATCTGTAGTACAGGATTCCACCCCTGACAGAGGTACTTTAGGAAACAATTACCTTGGTTTCCTATATATCAAACAGACGCAGTCAATGAATTATTGTACACTTCTTTTTTAAATTGAACTATTTTAGATGTTTGATGTTGCTGTTTCAGTAGTCAAATGTCTTGGTCAATCAACAGAAGGGTCGTTATTTGTGGATGACTTCTTGATCTGTTACAGATCTAAGAACATGCATACGATAGAACGACAACTTCAACAGAGTTTAAACAAACTACAATATTGGGCAAACGAAAACGGCTTCAAATTCTCTAAATCCAAAACTGTGTGCATGCATTTCTATCAAAAACGAAAAGCACACAATGACCCAAATCTAACACTCAATGGCACTAGAATTCCTGTTGTTGAACAGACTAAATTTCTCGGCCTCATTTTTGATTCGAAACTCTCTTTCATACCACATATAAAGTATCTGAAGGATAAGTGTTCCAAGGCGTTAAACATTATACGAGTCCTTTCTCATACTGATTGAGGAGCGGATCGGGAAATGCTTTTGCGCCTATACAGATCACTTATTCGAACAAAACTGGATTATGGTTCTATGGTATAAGGGTCGGCGCGCAGTTCGTACCTTCAGATGCTAGACCCAATCCATAACCAAGGGCTTCGTCTAGCCCTTGTAGCTTTTCGAACAACACGTGTAAAAAGCCTGTACGTGGAAGCAAATGAACCATCCCTTTATGACAGAAGAAAAAAACTTTCATTACAATTTGCAGTTCAATTAAAATCAAACCCTTAAAATCATGCTTTCAACCAAGTATTCAACCCCAAATACCAAAACATATTTACGCAAAACCAAAAACTTCTGCCAACATTTGGTATCCAAATTTTGAATTTCCTGCAAGAACTCAACATAAAATTGACGGACATAGCTGAATTTAACATATCTGATGTTCCTCCGTGGACCATTCAAACCCCTGATTTTAACTTTACATTAAATGAGCGAGGGAAATCAAGTGTTATGCCCGAAGAACACAAATCCTCCTTTCGGGAATGCATTTCGAATTACCCTTCTCATACACAACTTTACACCGATGGCTCCAAAGAAGGTGAGAAAGTGGCAGCAGCCTGCTGTACTGCCAATACTTGCACTTCAGTCCGACTACCAGACGGCGCCTCCATCTTTTCTGCTGAAGCATGCGCCATTGGTTTGGCCCTCGACCATATCGATGAACACCGCATTAAAAAGGCAATTATTTGTTCAGACTCTCTATCTGTCCTACAGAGTTTACAGTTACGAGATCCTAAAAACACAATCGTACAAAACCTTGCTCTTCGAATATCTCGTATATTGAAAAAGTCTAAAATAACTTTACTATGGATTCCGAGCCATATCGGAATAAAAGGCAACAAATTTGCTGACAGGGAAGCAAAAATGCATTGAATCTCGAACAAACAAATATCAAACTACCATACACAGATTTTAAACCTACTATTCGTACAGCCATTCAAAATGAATGGCAGAAACGCTGGTCTCTGGAGACCAACAACAAACTTTTTAAGATACAACCGAAACTTAAAACATCTATTCCCAGTCGGAAAGATCGTAGAGAGGAAGTTGTCCTCGCTCGGCTCCGCACTGGGCACACATATCCTACTCATTCGTACCTTTTAAAATGAGAAGATATACCTTCATGCCACGCATGTGCCACTCCATTTACAGTGGAGCATTTTTTAATAGAATGTTCCGATTTTAAACACATTCGTGATAACAACTTCCGAGTCCCGGATATGAAAACACTTTTCAGTTCCGTGGATTCGAAGGCATTATTTAACTATTTGAAAGACATCGGTCTATTTTATATACTCTGATGTCTTTTAACCCACCTTATCATTTTTGACGTTATATATATATCGCATATTCCATATCATCTATTCGTTATCTCTTTTATTATTTTAGCCCCTTTTTATTATTTTTTATTATCTACACATACGATGCGAATACTTTTAAAATGAACCATTTTATCTGATTTTATCTTCGCTATTCACATGTTTGTTAAAAAAGTAAAATAAATAAATAAATCACCATGGCCCTAAATGACCACAGCCATCGATGGGCCGTTAAACATAAACAAACAAACAAAAAATGTTTCAGTTGATGCTACAGAGGAGGATGAGATGAGTCAGCCCATGCCAGGGAGCCTTGCTGAGACCCATTCCAACTACAGCCTACCATCCGACATAGGACCTGTTATAGATCCCATCATAGTAAACCCAGGAGAGGGTAAGGTTAACAGGCTTCATGACAAGATGGGAAAAAAATTGGCCTATTTGTCAAAAATATTTGAATTCATAAGCTATGGTTCCAGTAGAGTATGTCTACATTAAATAATTTCCTGAGTAAATTGAAACATGATGCTAGTTGAGCATGGCTTTAACTGGCTGATACATTCTCAGAACTACTACTAGTCTGATTTTAAATAATATTGAATAGAGAATAATCGAGTTATAAAGAAGAAGACTTGTTGTCTGTGAGAAACGTTGAATATTACTATGATTGTGGATTCATCAACTTAAAAAAATGTGAAATAATATAAATAACATTATGATAATCAGGTATTGAAATAATACATTGGTGATTTACTTTTAATACAACTTGAAATCTCTTATAGTCCAACACTTTACTTAGTTAAATTCTGGAAAATTCCCCTCCAGTGCAAAATTTCCCAAATCATCTATCAGGGGCCCCATTTGACAAGTGGTATAATCATCCTTTGATGAAGATTCAACCTAACAAATGGCCATTAAAGCTGTAGCCACAGTTTGAAATAGGAGCTTTCTAAAAATGGATATCACATTTAATCAGTACAGCTATTACAGTGAGAGGCCATTCAATCACTATAAATACATTTGTTTACTTTCAGATTCTGATTTCGACAGTCCATACAATTCACCAGTGAAAAGTATTGTTTATAAATCAGCATCAGTGTCAAACAATATTGATTTAACTAGTAGAAAAGATTTGACATTTCAAGAACCAGAAGAAAAAAACAATCTGCCTGTAGCTGATCCAGAGAACAAAGCACCATCCCCCACCTTACCAGAACCCTCCATTAAAACATCACCTCCACTCAAACCTTCCTTGAAAAGAAAAGCTATTTCATCATCTGACCTATCAAAAACTCCCTTACAAGTAAAAAAGACTTCACCAACAACAAAATCTAGTCAAAAAATAAGAAAGGTATCTGCAAAACAAGTTGGAGCAGGAACTCGACCATCAATAACACGTCGGACAAAACAGCCAGATAAGAAAGCTGTGACGCCTCAACAGAAACGTGCAAGGAAAGCTGTAGCAACAGCAAAGGAACACTCTAAACATGTCGGGCTTGTGTCGAAGTCAGCACAGTCTCTAGAGCAAGCAAAGCAGCACACTGTTAAGAAAGATAATAATCCTGTTGCTGTGGATCCAAAAGTCATATCATTGAAGAAAAAGGAGGCAGAAAAAAAAGAAGGTATTTGTTAGTTAGAAGAATACTATATTGGTGTAAGTGGTATAATCATCAAATATTTAAATGGACTTTCTTGCTATGGTCTGTCTGTTGAAACAATATAGAATACTTTTATTTCTGTGAGAGATTAATTTTCACATTTTTTTAAGCAAATTTGTATCTTCAACCATTATTAATTCTTTTTACATAATTACACTTAATATGTGATATCCTCTTCAATCACAGATTCAAGAATTAGTGAATAAAACCTACAGGCAATGCTCCCAAATGTCTTGATATATAATCTTCTGCTGGCTGTAACCTTTAAACTGTTACAATATCTTGTTGAAAGTTGAAGTGTATCTGCATCACCCATAAAAGGAGTACAGTACACTGTAATTAGGTTACTGTGACATTCACCTCTCAGTCAAAGGTCAAATAAGAACAGAATTCTAAATAAAAGCTTGCCTGTGCTGCCAGTTTTAAACTATTGAAGATATCTTATAAACCTTAGATTTTAGAAGCATATTGCAACACCCAAAGGTGTGTAGTGCACTGTATTAAGGTACCTTGACTTTCACTTCTAGGGCAAAGGTAAAGCAAGATAAATTTGTATTTAATTAAAGCAAATACCTGGTAATATGCATATTTACTACTGGAGATCTAGAGAGACATATATATTTTTGTTCATTAAGACAAGTCTCTAAACTTAACGGTACTGAGACTGAGTGTTTGATTTTACTGTAGCCACAAGAAACACAAGCAAAAGTTAATGTTACATAATACTTGTCACTAAAATATACACAGGAAGTAAGCTTTTAAGTCTGTCATGGTGCCAGTGATAATGTATATATTTTAATTGACTCTTGGGTGTATGGTGGAATAAATGGGTTAAATTTTAAATGAAAGATGATAAAAGGAGGCTGAACAAATTATGGGTTTGTTTATAAAAGTAAAGAGAAGACAAAAGTTTAAACAGGGAAAATCATTTTTTCAGTGTAATTGCTGATTTATTCATAATTTACTTGATAAAGTAATGACTTTTAAAGTTAACTTGACTTTTGTATAGGAAATCTTGAAGTAACATGGAAAAATATTACAATGCAAAGTACTTGAAATGATTACAGCATACAAAATATCCTTGGAAAAAGACTGATATTGATTTCAAATGAAATATTGTGATTTTATTTTTTAGCAACAATATACAACCCTTGTATTTAATATTGTTTTAAAATTATACTGTATCTTGGGAATTTAACCAGATTTTAATTAAAAATGTGTTGTAAATATGTACTTGTGCAGACATATGTAATCATATCAATTTTCTATCAAATTGTAAAAAAAAAATCTTTAAAATTGTAGATGTTAAGACAACTGATGAAGAGAATTCAGATGAGGACCTGGGTATAAAAAGCTTGGAGCAAACATTGAGGGAGAGAGCACTCCGGTCAATGGGTATCATTGAACTGAAAAGTGGACGGGTTGTCAGAATCAGTAAGTTATAGTACTATGTCCCATTACTCTGTATAAATTCACAATTTCTAACTTTATTTCAATTTATTACCATGATATAACAAGAAATTTCATGCAATTTGCTTACTATGAACAAAATGTGGAACGAAACTGTTAAAGTTACAATGGCCAGATGTGGTGTCGGATTTGGCCTAAATTTAAACAGATTTGTAGAAATCGTGGATATCAGATATGAAAATGAAAAACAGCACAATGCTTCTGAAGTTTGAGATTTGCAGACATGTATCTTTGTTTTACTGCTGAAAATCATCATTATATTAGTCAGTAATTCTGCTTAGACCTGTACATTTCCAAATATAGGGGAGTTATTCCCAATTGAAAATCTATGCACAGATATAAATATTTGTCAAGTTAAACACTGTTGATTACCTTTTCGTAACAAAATGATCAATTTTGTCCTTGTGTTGTCATAATTAAAACCAGTAAATGTGAATTGCTAATAATCTTGTGTTGGACTCTCAACTTCCCAATGTCATTCAACACAGAATGAAACTTTTCTTTTATAAAATACCTAATAAGAAAATATTTAAATTTCTAGAAGATCAGCCAGAGAAGAAAGAAGAGCCTGTGAAAAGAAGAAGACGTTCCAGTGACGGAGACAAAAGAAAGAGTGACACATCAGAGAGAAAGTCCACTGAAAAGTTACCAGTGCACAAGCGAATAGGTACTTCAAAACGCACACCACCAAGTAGGAAGAGGAGCATAGAGGAACGCAGCTCTCAGGCCCGAAACAAAGAGAGGGAGGAGAGGATCAAACGTCTAAAGCTGGAACAGGAACGAGAAAATAAACGCAGAGAAATCATAGCTGCAAAGAGGAAGGCGCGTGCCTTAAAAGGTAGAGATTATTGGTAAAGCAGTGTCCATATCTTCTTACATAGTAGTATCCTGGTATCCTTACAAGGATGGTTATTTCTTTTGGAGTGAAAAGTAATTTAAATTCCTAACTTGGAAACATCATTTAATGGCTTTGGTTGTTCTTGTGAAGTGTTTGTGAAGTTATATTTAGATCTCCTCTTGTGGCAGATAAAGAGTTGCGGAGATATCTTTGGGAGGTTGCTAGTGTTTGAAAAAATGGACTGGTTTGTTTCTCCCGCTTTAACATAGAAATTTCCCAACATAGATCTGACATCCATCACCTTTTTGCCATGAAAATTTGGTTCCTTTATTTTCTAGTAGTATATATATATATCATCTAATGTGATAAGAAGAATAACTATCGTATTTGTGTGATAGAAGTAATATTGCTTTTTGTTGATATCTCTGTCAAATGTATGTACTGCAAAACTGTATTGTTTTGCTAGGGTTTGATGATAATATAGAGGGTTTGAAAACAGTGGTGTATATGGCAAAAATTGATAATCATTAGTGAAACAAAGTTATTCCTTGATGCCTTTAAAAATCTCCCTACTTGAACTCAATATCTCTACATCAAAACCCAAATCATCCTGCATTGTGTTCTAAATTCCTCACCTCTGTTAAGTTTTTTTATCACATACCTATGTAATCTTACAATAGTAATAGAACAATTTTCTGTTGATGTTTTCTGTGTGATACAAGATGTTGTATCACCATACTAGCCGGAACTGCTTTCTATGGGAATCCCCTTGTCATGGCGAACTGAAAAGTTCCCCGTATTTGCAAAAAATATCAAAGTTTATAAAATCTTTGTATCGATCTCTACCAAATACGGAAGGAATGTAATAAAAGCAAGACCACACACTTGTGTTTTTCTAACGCATCTGAAATCATTTATTGCGCGGACGTATATATTCACTTGTGCGCTTTACGCACTGGTGAATATATTGTTATATTGTATATATTCGTCTGTGCAATAAACTTGTGCTTTCTGATTCGTTAGAAAAACACAAGTGTGTGGTCTTGCATATATATCGTACATATTATATCACATATAGCCGTCACCAAAAAATGCAGGGGAATTATTTCCAAATTGATCTTGTAATATAACATTTAAATATAATTAAGCGAGTTAAAAACATCTTTTATCAGTATTTGATAAATTAAGTCAATTTTCTGATTTGTGTTAAGCTGCAAAAGCTACAGTAGTTAAAAAGGAGGAAGTGGAGGAGGAATCGGATAGTGAGGAGGAAAGCTCGGTCAGTGAGGTAGAGGAAGCTGAGGTGTCTGAAGGTGAGAAGAGTGCATCTGAAGGAAGCAGTGATGAAGGAGAGAAAGAGGAGGAGGAGGACATTGGAGAGGAGGTGGACATTGAACTAGGAGAGGGGGAACCTGAGACGTCCGAGGAGGAGGAAGAAGAAGTAAAGAAAGAGGTTCCAGTGAAGTTTGTTTTTGATACAAGGAGAGCGATCAGAAAATCAGGTATAGACAATATTTGAAATTTGTATACAGGTGCTATTTAATGCTGAGGGCTATTTCAGAAATAAATATATATGTTGGTTTGAGAGGGGGTGGTGGAGCCCTTTCGTGGCCACCACTACCTTAAGGTTTACGTCCTGGAGCCCACTTTACAAATATTAACAATCATGATATGATACTCCACCAACAATCAAACATACTTAATGTCAATTATAAATAAAATACGTAAAATATATGCAGATATTGAATAGCCCTTAGCATATGTCTTAAGGTAATAACTTTGTGATAAAAGTCATCTGTAAAGTGATAACCTGACTGTGAAAAAAACCCACATTTATTAATAAAAAAAAGTCTTTGTATTTTTCAACTGTTAAATAACTTCAAGTGCAAAAGTATTGATGTATTAGGTATATACTATTCAAAATTTCTCCATTCGAAAGATACATACTAAATCTTCTACTTAAAAAGCTTTCATGACTGTCATTGAGCGTTGAAAAGAAAATGTCTTTAGGATTTCTTGGGTGTTATCAACATGTATAAAGTTTTTGCAGCAAAGGTCATGTGTATCTTTGGTGCATTTATAACAATTTGAGTAATAACCTTGGTCATATACCCAATATTTTACTGTTGACATAGACAAATATCTGAATTGGTGTATTTTTCTAAATAATAATATAACTGAAGCATATATAAATTCTTTATTTGAAAATTATCTTTGTGAAGCTCTGAATCAATATGCATACGGGTATTTCTTTATAAATATGCAGCCATGTGTGTACATTTCCAAATTTACAGAAATCTACACAAAGATAAAAAAAAATATTCTAATATTTCTATGTGTATGTTTATGAAACTTTTCACAAACCCTAACAGTAGTCTGGTTGTTGGACTAGTGGAATTGTACCTAAAATTGATTAATTCAGGGCATCAGTAATAAGTGTAGTCATTGTACTTATTGGTATAAATTTTTGGTCTGGAATTTCGTGAAGTGGGCTTAATTTTCATGAAAAAAAACATTTTTTACCAATTTGTATGAATTTTTCAGATTCTTTTGAAAATTTCACGATCAAGAAATCTATTCCTATTCAGCCAGTTAAAGCAAGTAAGTGTATCTTTTTATCATTGTCAAGTAAGAGTATCTTTTTATCATTGTCAAGTAAGAGTATCTTTTTATCATTGTCAAGTATGTGTATCTTTTTATCATTGTCAAGTAAGTGTATCTTTTCATCATTGTCAAGTAAGTGTATCTTTTCATCATTGTCAAGTAAGTGTATCGTTTTATCATTGTCAAGTAAGTCTATCTTTTTATCATTGTCAAGTAAGTGTATCTTTTCATCATTGTCAAGTAAGTGTATCTTTTTATCATTGTCAAGTAAGTCTATCTTTTTATCATTGTCAAGTAAGAGTATCTTTTTATCATTGTCAAGTAAGTGTATCTTTTTATCATTGTCAAGATCTTAAGACTGAAAAATATTCGATGGAAAATTTCACTATCTAGAAGTCTATTCCACATGTTTTAATTTTATGCAAGAACATATTTTTTGTAAAGAATTGGTTGTTGTTTACAATAATACTTCCTGTTTCAGAAGTTATTGAAGAAGTCACAATCAAGAAAACATTTGTTGTACCGCCAAAGGAAGAAAAGGGTAAATATCTATAGCTCAGTGAATTTAAAACTATTTGATTTTGTTCAAGTGATCTACACTGAAAAAGTCTTAATTTGATAGAGTAAGAAATCGCCTGTTAAAATTAAGTAAGTTGATACAGAAAATCCAAACAAAAGTTTGTTGTATTAAAAAACAGAAATTCAGAGTCATTTCACAACAATTCAAAGGTCAAGTATGGTCATGATTTTAGAAATGTATGATGAAAAATTAAAGATGTCATTGATACTTATTTTCAATAATGATCTTGACTTCATGTAGGAAAACCCAAACTAGCCGAAAATCCGAAATTTTACCATATTCAATCATAAGAATTCAGATTTTAGAAATGTAAGACACAAAATTTAAAATTTCAATGCTATTTAAATATTATTTATTGTAGATATCATACAAGTATTGACTTTCTTGTAGGAAAACACAAACTACCAGAAATCCAAACAAAGTGCACCATAAAATAAAAATAGGAATTCAGAGTCATTTAGCAAAGATCTAAGTGACGAGCATGGTTGTGATTTTAGAAATGTATGATATAAAAATATTACATAATTACATGTATTTAGATAATTTTGTTGACTTTGTTTAGAAAAGCCCAAACGTAAGAGAAGAGTGATACTGGAGGATGATGAGCCAGGTAGGTTGCCTCCACATCTTGCGTTTTGTGCTTGTATACAATATAGTAAATGTGTATTGGTTTGCAGATCCCCCCATGCAAATTCACAGATTTTTAAACAAACAAAAAATACCTATGAGGTAGCTAGCTGAGGTCCATAATTGGAACATATCTTGTAAGAATAACATCTTGGTATTGCCATGTTCTTTTGTAAAAGGCATACAACTTAACTTGTTCAGGCAGCTTTTTGCTTCCAAAGTTATCGTAATCAAATTATTATTTAGATTGGATCTACCTTCCATTCATTTTAAAATTCATTGAATGAATGAACCATGAACATTGAAGTTCATTTGACTCTCAGTTTCAGCTCCACTGCCAATATTTTCTGTCAGAAGCAACATAACCAAACCCAAGGAGGTGCAGAAAAAGACTGTGGAGGTGAAGAAGCCAAAGCTAGCTAAGACAAAGGAGGAGCAGAGGCCAGAGTCTGTCGTCCGACCCATGGTCAAGCCAGTGGTCGCGATAAGTGCTCCAAAAGTCAAGACCATAAATGTATGGAACAGACGTGCATGGGACAGCAGACCAAAAGAATCAGGGGACAGCGCAGACTCTCGTCTTGGTGGTATCCGCAGCAGACTGGGAGTACCTGGGGCCCCAACAGGGGGTTGTGCTGGGGACCAGGAGACTGGTAGCAAGGAGGCAGAGCCAAAGATCAAAAAGAGACTTGGCTGGAGGAAGACACCAGTTGTGTCAGCTGAGGACAACACAGACTCGGGTAGGTAGAAGGGAATTTGGGGGAAGATTTGTCTTTGGGAGCAACAGGTGTAATATCTGTAACATAGTGTGTTTTTGTGTCGCCTGCAACACGAGGCAACATAGGTATCCTCATCGTCGTTATCAGTTGCGTCGTCCGAAACAGGGTTTAATTGAACTCTAACTTCATACAGTGCTTCCTTACTAGAAGTGCTTGCTTAGGATTGCTTTTCAGGTTCAAAGGTCAATGTCTCCGTTACTATAAATAGAAAAACTGTTTCCATATGATAAGTCCAGTTTCCTTGGGCCGATTAACCTCAAAACTTCACACTGACTGCAGGCGACACATCCACTCCTGTGGAATTCTTGTTTAATTAAGCTTTAATGATCTGACAACAGTCTACTGGCCAAACCTACCTTTATAACATGAATACATGTATGGAAAATTTTCATTAGCCAGACATTAAATCTACGAGCCCTGAATGTTGGGCTGGTGGAAATGTACACTCTTGAAGTGTTACGTTATAATTCAGATAACTTGGTTAATGCATGTTGTTGGTGTGTGTGTACTTTTCAAATCTATTATCAATTGATTAAGAAAGTTATAAATAAGTGTTTAAGCGTGGAACTTTTGGAAAAAGAGATCCATTTCAGAGAAAAGTAACATACATCCTTACAAGCTCGGTTTTGTGTCAGGAAAATGTACTCTACAAATCCAGCATTTAACACATTTCTGTTTTTATTGTTTAGATTCCACTAAAGCAGTGAAAAAATCTGTGAGCCTAGCAGCAATCAGGGCAAAAGTTGGTCATCGACAACCAGCTGGTAAGGTTAAACCATTGTTTAACATGGTGTATATATGTTTGTCTGTTTTTGTTTGCTTTGTTGTTTTAATCATAGAAATGAAACATTTTGTAGAACTATAATACCATATTTGTCTTATTTGTAGTTAATGTTCGTATATGTGTCCTACCTGATTAATAGCTACTTTAATTTGAAATCATACTCAGTGAATTCTGTTTCAATTACAAAATATCAGCAATGTTACAAAGCATATATAGAAGACAGGGTTGAGTTGAAAACAAAGGGAACAGAAAGCAAATCAAACTACCGGTAGTACTGCATGCAGAATGTTGTTAGATTTCAAACTTTACTATTAACAAGAATTCTTATATAACTTATATTGTTGAAGTTAAATTTAGTATTCATCATCTTAACTACAAAAAATGTCATTCTTATGATGCATGTGCTAAATTTAATGCTTGAAGCTACTTTTCCATGTCTTGAAAAGATTTGTCCTATTGTTGTAGGGAGCGATGAAGACTTGACCGTTGTCCATTCAGAAACTAGTGAAGAAATGTCTGCAGCGACCAAAAAGTATAGACAACCCATACAGATATATGTACCACCAGCAAAGAAACGAAGTAAGTGGATAATCACCAGTAGAAAAAACCCATTTCAGTGGTATTCAAACTTCAATATAAAAAGATAAGGGCTGTTCCAGTAAAAGGTCAACCTACCATACCCCAGGCCTCTAAAATAAATATCTCCATGGTTAGATTACTACCTATTCTATGAAAATGGTAATATCAAATTCTAAGGGTGGTACCCATATTATTAAAGCTAAACATGGTAGTCCTGAGGTGGGATAGACATTTTACTGGAACAGCCCTTATTACAGGTATTGACAGATTAATAATGTGCAGTTTTAATGTAATAAAGCATTTTATTTTTGTCCAGTACATATACCACAGTTTACAATTAAAAGTTTGAAAACTTCGTACTCGCTACTTTATGGAAAAAAGGACAGTAATAGTCGAGATTTTATTGACAAATCAAACGATAATTGCAAATATGTCATGATGATCATGTACAGGTAATTATGGTTTCACGTTCGTTTCCTTAAGTTTATACACTGTAGTTTTGCTTGTACTTGATTTTGCAAATTATCCATGTATGTTTTATTGGTGAATACTTGAATTATTGATTAATTTAAGTTTGATCACAATTCTCTCTATTGTATTGTATAAAAAATAAACTAATCAAATTGTGTGTTTCAGCTTCTGTGCCAGATGACGAGGAACCCATAAAGAGGAGACTAGTTGAAAAAAATATGGAGGTTAGGATTCTGATGTGTTTATATAAAGTATTCTAGAAGGAACTACATGATCTTCAGTCTTCTAGAAGGAACTACATGATCTTCAGTCTTCTAGAAGAAGAAAATATGAATCCTTATCAAAAGTTTAAAACCATCAGAAAAAAACATTCTCTCAAATTAAGTGTTAAAGCAACAAGTTCATTATTGACTTCAAGTTTGATACAAGAAGTAATTCTTTAGTATTAATGAGAAATGTTTATGGCTAAAGGATTTCTCCTATGGCAAGCAAAACTAGCAGATTCCAACCTTGTTTTCCATACATAGAGTAACCTCCCTTTACTTTCTTTTTGGATATTACTCTATCGGGACTGGGAGTGGGCCAGGGAAGTACCACAGTCAGGGAATCCTTTACTACAGCAGAAGTATTATAAAGAACTTGTTGCAAAAAAACACCCAGAGGATAAGTCTGCTTGATTTGGTAGTGCTGCTGATGTGACATATATTCCAGTAAAGCGCTCGCCTAGCTGGTCAGCTTTTAGGGTGCCTGGGGAATGCAGATTTGCTGGCCATGTGTGGCCTCATGGCTAGAAATCTCTTTCTCTATTTCTCTATTTGCATAATAAGACAATTTGCAATTAGTGTTGTTTACTTTTTTTTTTTGGGGGGGGGGGATTCCCATCAATAATACACCAAATACAGATTTTACAAGATTTATCTGAAAGGAGCAGACACCTGTTGTTAAATTCATTTCAATGAAATTTTGAAACATGTTATGTAGAAAAGTTACTTCAATTACTGCTATAAAGTGGTTTTTTTTTTAATCTTTAAATTATTTGTGTTTGAACATAATTATATTGGCTGCAGAAATATATAATTCACAGTATATCATTGCTTGTTCATGTGTACTGTGAAAAGGGATATTTTTGCCATTATATTTTCTCCCTTTTCATCTCTCTATTCAAAACAGGTTAGACATAGATATATTGGTTACATTTTTACCAGTGAAATCTCAGCATACACAGTAAGCAAATCTTACTAGACAATAACGGAAAACAATGGCCATTGAACATCACGTGTATGGCAGAAACATGGCCTGTTACTGATCATTTGTGTTTCTCACTCCAAAATATATTGTTATATGTATTTCCATATTCGTGAAATATATATGGATTCAACAGGAAACTGTTGAATATTCTCTTTGTACCCACAACATAACATTACCGATAAATGTGCGTGGGGGATTCAGCATTGGATATATTATGAATAGTCTAGAGGGGGAAACTAAGTAAGGTTTTCTATATTTTTGCACTGATTCGAGGAAATAAAGCATTTGTAATGTTCCAACTTCACGGTGAAGTAAATTGAAATGGTTGTATTTGCAAATTAAAGTTTAGATTGGTATATAAACAAGTGATAAAAGAATACTGTTGTAAAAGTTGAACTTTCTTAAAAAAAAATCTCTTCATTTACAGGGATTAAAAGACCAGATTAAACCCAAAGAAGTGAAAACGTTTGTTCAGATAATGGCTGAAAAAAGAGAACAACAGAAGATATTAGTGGAGAAACAGAAGAACACTTTGGCGTCATTAGGTGGTTCCCCAGGCAAAAAGGTGTTAAGGCCTGTAAAGTTTGGCATTGACGAAAAAGGTGAATACAGCTTTTAGCTACATATCTAATTAAAAAATTGTTTTGTCTGATATCAAATCATATTAGAAATAAGGTTCTGATAATTTTTGGCAATATTCCATTATTGGTACCAATGAAGTTTATTATGATGAATAATACATTCGTTTCAAGTTCCAATCATCTGTAATTACTTTAATACATTAACATGCAAGAGATGAGTCATATCATTCCATTAAATTCAACACAGTCAGGAGATGTGCTAGAGATATACCATATAAGTTTTTATTTAGGAAATAGCTTATAACCATATTAAGGCTCTTAGGTTCAATGTATTTACATACCAGCCAGATTTCACCGATATTAACCAGTATTTCTTTCACTTTGCAGACTTGGCAGATGTCAAAGTAAAATCACGATTACCAGGAGAATCTCCTCTGTCAATGCCTGTGTCTAATTCTGTACAATCATCAAGTTCATCCTTATCAATATCATCATCTTCACGACACATGCCAGTTTCATCATCACATTCAGATTCCACAGTTACCTCATCTAACTCCAAAACCTGGTCATTTATTGAAAAAGAACAAAAACATGTAGCTCCAATCTCAAGCAAATCTTCACATGGCACGCCTGCCAGTATTGACAATAAAGGCGATGATGCCCCTGAGCTAGACAATCTGTTTACAGAGAGGAACGGTACCTTAGGTAAACCTCAGACATCTGTGTTTAAAGCTGCACCTACATTTGCTGTGTCAGAGGTTAGCTCTACACAAGATTTAAACGCTGCAGGAGACGGTTCTGCAGGACTGTCACAGTACAGGGACCAAGTTAATATTGCGGCATCATCACCGCCAAGCAATAAGATGGAATCCATCAACACAATTGCTGTTGATATCCGTGAGGAAGAAGAGAATGTGTAAGTGTTTTGATTGTTAATATGATGTTTTCCTAAAACACTCTATGTTCTCCATATATTTTATGTGGCTAAATTTGTTTTGTGATATGAAATTAAATCTGTTCCAAACATCAAATGTAAAAGTAATTGTAAGACTTAAATTATTGAACATATTGATGACTTTCTTGAAAAGCCTTTGGTTCTTGCTATGAACATGTTCATAATTTTACTTTGTTGTGGGAAAAAAATAAAAATGCCAGGGGTGAACAAATTCACTTGCCTGACGTCCAGGACAAGCAGTTTTAGCACCCTGGCAAGTTCAAAAGGTTGGCCCACTTGCCCAGGGCAAATGCAATATAAAAAAAAATTAAACATGTATTTGAATGTGTTTTTCTGTCCCCCCCNGTTTAGTGGATTACACTCAAAACATTATGAAACAAACAAGCAAAAATTCATGAAAATAATTCTTCATTTTTAGGAAAAAATCTGTCACTGCAGTTTAATAGTAAATAATTGATATCGTAAAAAAAAATCTTATGTATACATTTTTTTTGTTTGGTTGGTCTATGATTTACATTACTAATTTAAGCAATAATCACATTTGTTATCAATAATAATAATAATAATAATAATAATTGTAGGTTCTTATATACCGCTTTATCACAACCTAGTTCGTAGGTCGTCTCAAAGCGGTTCACAAATTATTATCCGTGGTTATAGGGCCTTTGCAACCAGCCAATACATTTCTCAACTCCATGGAGAGCATACAGCCGGAGCTGCCATTTCGGCGCTAACAGCTAGCATCAACAATTCTAGCACTTCCCAAGCACGTACTCATTTACAGCTGAGTAGACTGGAACAAGCGGAGTAAAGTTTCTTGCTCAAAGATACAACACATTGCCGTGCCGTGGCGTGAACCCGCAACCCTTCGGTCACGAGCCCGGCGTCCTACCACTGGACTACCGTGCCTCCTGAAGGCAAATTGAAGGAATATTACTTAGACCAGATCTGTAAATTATGAATAGATCTAGACCTCATTTAAAGCCCATAATGGTACAGTATTAAAATCGTAGGAAAGTTTTGATAATAATTTGTATTTTGTTTTGCAGATCACCTGCCAAGAGATCTTCACATAATGACAGTTGGCTAGACATTGACATTAGTGACCTGGACGAAGATATCACAGAAGATGAAACCAACGACGACGACCTGCTCAGGGAAATTGATGAACTTCTTGCATAAGGCCAATCATGAACCAGGTGTTCATCACCGATCTCTTAAAAATAATACATTATAACCTGCATTTATCAAGACTCAAGCTTCATTAGTGGAAGGTGCCGAAGTAGACGAACATTACAAAGAATAAGATGATTAAGACCCTGTCAGAATGCTTTCTGGATGTATACTGTTAATCGATGAATACGATTTACTTAAGTACTTCATCAGTTCATGATGTGGTGATTGAATATTTGTGCTATTAATTAAAATTAATTCATGTATGAGTTATAGAATAACATATAAACATATCTATAGTGGTGTCATGTATTAAAGGTGCTTCTGGAATTGATGTTAGTAATGTGTAGTTTTAGTTGACTTGTTTGTATTGATTTGATGAGATAATTTTGTGGGTAAGAATTGTAAGAGTGAGTTAAAGAGTGGATTGAAAAAGGTTGGTTAGGAGCACAATTAAATGGGGAACAACATTGTGTGCTATTCCAGATATGAAGGGGATTCATTCATTGGTAACATGTTGTGGGGGAGGGTGGGGGGAGGTTCTATACAATTTCTTTAACATTTAATTTGAATATTGGACCCCTGGAAAAACAATTAGATATCAAAATCAAAACAAAGAGCCTAGTTGTCTCTCCCCACTCCATATACTTATTTCTGGAATGACGCCAAGTTTGTGAAAACTTCTTTTGACTTGTATGATATAATATACCCTCAGATCAGAGGAATTTGATAATCTGGTGTCTGGGTTATTTTATATTATTGAACAGTGTACATTTATAATTTTAAGTTAAATTGCTAGGGATTTACTTTTGTCTTAAAAAAACCCAGGTCATATTTGATGATGTATAATAATGTTTTGACATCAGTTCCAAATTTGACTGATTACATCATGTAATAACTAATATAGACCATGACGTTGATAACAAGAGTAAAATGTACTTTACTTATGACACTGCAAATGTTTGCCATACTACTGTAAAAAAAACACAGAAATTTTCATCAGGATCCAAATGGATATAAATTTATGTAAATGACACTTTGAAGTTTGGATACGCTGAATACATTGCAAATGTTTCGAACTTGCTCAATTGAAAGAGAAGCTTATGTGTGCATATCAGTGAAGTTGGCCTCAGTATTTTTTTCGAAAAGTCAAGAAGTTTTGAAGTGTTTTACTATATTTTAAGAAATGATAGCATAATTGGATGAAACTGAGGGTGATGAAGGGATCAGATAGTTCAGGAAATGTACACAGATCTACTGTCAGTACTGTATACTGTACATGTTGGGTCCATGTTCATGCATTCAATCCCAGTTAGGGTGTAGCTGGTAGATTAACACAAACACACTTTTATCAAAGAACCACATTCTAACATGATTTTGAAGTGTAATGATATTTTTGGAAGAACTTTTTTTCAATCTTTAGATAAATGGGTACTGTCCTTGTCTCCGATATGAAAGTCAGTTATTCCTTTGCGGAACATTTTTTTTTTTTAGAATTTTGGGATAAATTTGGACTAGAGTCAAACTTAACTCATCCTAATGAAAATTTCTGCTTTTGACAGTATTGCAAACAGCAGTGCATTGATTTCTGCAATTACTCTCAGATGCAGTCGACCCAGTTGCATGTTTGTTATTGATAGCTGTGTCTAGGAAATCCCTTTTTTTTGTTGTAATGTATTACATGTATGCATGCAGCATTATTTTAAAATATGATAAGGACAGTTCTGAACATGCTAACAAACTACAAATCAATGGCTCCATTTATCAAACTTACTGTTCATGTTTCGTAGTTACTTATATCGTTCAACTATACTTGAATACCAATTGCTGGAAGTTGGCTCAAATTACGCTTTTTCATGTATCGTCATTCAAGATACAAAGAGTTTGTTACAACATAATCTGTACTTTTTTGGAGAAGTGTAAAATGGCTTTTTAAAATCAAGATGTAATGTTCTCGTACAAGATTTCTCAAAACTACAAAAAAGGAAGCTTTTATTCAGTAATATTCCAATACAGATACATACATTTTAGTCAATTTTTCTCAACACTTGCTTAAAGAAAAATGTTTGATTCATTTTTAAATATGAAGATCAACCAAAGAAGTGTTTAAGGTTTTGATTCTGAAAGACGATATATTACTATTCAAGTGAAATTGTAATATGAACCATTGTGCTGACTTTGTTCACAGTACTTTACTTTGTATGTTTTTTTATCTTGTGTTTCGATAAAAACCTTTTTTTTTTCTTTTTTTTTTTTTTTTTTTACAAAATGAGATTTGTAAAGAAAATATGTGAAAAAAAGGAGAAATAAGGAAACAAAAATTGAAATATTGTGTATGACTAAAAAAAAGAACAAAAAAGAAGAGAGGAAAACAAATTGACAAATATTGCCTTAAGAAAAGATAAAAAAAAAAAATACAATACAGAAAAGCGTATTAAAAGCATATCTCATATGAATACTTGTGTAAATAAGTAATAAAAATTGCTACAAGACATTGAAAAAAAGGTAAGTATTCAATAGCAAATGTCTTGTATTGCAATCACGACTTTGATTTCTCAAACTGAAGTTTGATTATTTTTTCTTCGATAAATCAAATTTATCCCTTTTCTTTATTAAATTCATGTTTGAAATATAAAGGAGTTATCAACATTATCCTATTTTGAATCCTATTTGTTTTCTGTGTTTTCTAAAGCTTTAAATATAATGATATATTGGTACCAGATGTTTGTGTAAAAATTGACAACTTCACAAAAACATAATTTATAAAAGAAGAAGATTAATTGCTATTTCTGACAATTGATCAAACAAGCAAAAAGAAACAATTAAGGCTGATAAAAAAGTATCCAGTATAAAAAATTAACAACACTACAGGTCTAGGGTAGGGGAGATAACTCGAAATTTCTTTTAGTCATTTTTCAAAGAGACGTGTCCAGTGTCAGTTTATTGCAATACACTGATAAACACAAGAAATCTGATGACCGATTCTAAGTACTTGAGTGGCAATACCTTGTTTGAAATGTGGTGTAATGGGAATTATGATCAGGAGGTAAGTATGTTAGCTCCATTAACTAATCTAAACTTCTTTGAAATACAACGCTAACAAATAATAGGTATATCAGAATTTGAATCAGAATTTGAATATATACATTTTAAATAATTTACAATAGTGCTTTTTGTACACAGAAAAAATATTGTTGACTGTGTTTTTATTTTAGACGTTTGAAAGCTATATCGAATACACTGTTAGATCCAGTATCTTATATGACAATCAAAAACTACGGGTAGTGGTGATACTCTGTTATATCAGGCTGATGCCACTCTATCAAGTCAGTAAAGCAACGTACCAATCATATAAAAACATAACTGACAAACACAGATACATAATATTGTCAGTAATATTGTTTGGTATACAAGTGTTTGTGATGTGTGTTTATTGTAGTGATTGTGCTGTATACTGAAAAATGTAGTATGTTCTGAACATCAACTGACATCATAAATTGGGATGTAATGTACAATACTGTGACATTTAAAAACAAATTCAAAGAACATTTCTATTACTGTTCAGGTTTTACGTTTTTTTTTAATTATCTCTTAAACATGTGTGTATTTTTATAAGGTTTTCAACTACAAATATCCTCATTATGTTGCCGTCATGTTCCCCAGCAAAATGTTGGCATTATAAAGAGGTTAGGACGTTGAAATATGTTGGCAGTATATTGGGTGGCAATGAAATGAAAATAATGACATTATATGAAGCTGTACATTATTTCACCACCTGTGTATATAAGATTTTTCACTTTGTGAGTAACGGTTTCATTTATTTTATTAATGGTAACTTTGTGCATACATGTTCTATTTTCCTTTTTCTTTTTTTTATCAATGGTAATTATTCTTTAAAAATCGAACTGAAAGAGAGGCCTGATGTTTTGAACATGTGTGATAAGAGTGTATCTAGAACTTTGTAATAAGAATATTAATTAGTGTATATAAGTGTATCCAGAAGCACCTATATATGTGAGTACACCATACCTCTAGGCCACACCATGTTATAAATGTGGTTGGTTTATGTTACATCATATTGGGCCTTTTTCGTGTAAACGGTCAAACCGGACGGACCACTGTTGTTCGTTTATTACATAAGGTCGGACCTAGTCATCTGCTGTTGCTTTCAGGCGAGCCTTGACAAAGCCTTGCAAGGCCTGCATAAACATTTGCAGGTCCGCCAGGGTCTATACCCAAAATTGTTACATTTATAAACGGTCAAACCGGTTGTTCCGCATAAACGAACAGGCCCTTAGTGTTGGTTAGAATATGTATATGAGGAACATGTCTCAATACAATAATTTTTGTGCTGAGATGATTCTTAATAGTTGAGATATTGCATCAGATTGTAAAAAAATGATTTATAAAATCATGATATAAAATAATAATGTTTATTTTACTTTAAGAAGAACCTCCAATATTTGGGTAGCCTTTTGTTGGGGTTTTCTTTACTTTCATTTGTCTAAAAGTGGCTACTTTTATTGGTTGTAAATTTTGGTGCAAGTGGATATTTTGTATTTCCTGTGTATCTTTGTTAAGTTTTACTGCATTTATTACATCTCGCATCAATCATTATGTTAAATACTGTAGTATTAATGCCATAACACACTGGTGGTAAGGTATTATAGCATTTGTGTGGAAAGCCATTGTGATAGATTGTTACAGAGAAAGAGTGTGTGTTTGAGCAGGATGTTGACATGATTAAAAAACATGTGGAGGTCTTGTGGAAATGCTGGGTCATGGTATGTTGTTTGTGTGGGTGATTGATATAACTGGTGCACGGTCTGGCATCAGGTTTTTAACATTGATGGCAAATTGTTGATTTCTTTGTATCAAATTTCGCTGTCAACTCCAGAAATAAAGGTTGAAAGCTATCTTACTTTTGCTGATAACTTATTTACAGTTCCCTACCAGTCTTACACGAAGATACTTCAGTATGCGACTTAATCATTAAGGGCTGGTGATAAAGTTGAATTATTCCGTCTTTGTGTATTGCAGAGTTATCTTCTCTTGAGAGCAGGTATTGATTGTTACGTCATTTGTTTGTGAGAGTAACGTCATCAATTTTTGAGAAAACGACGTAATTTTCTCACACAAACCAATGACGTAACAATCAATACCTGCTCTCAAGAGAAGATAACTCTGCAATACGCAAAGACGGAATAGCTGCCTATATCATTTTCATTAGAGTTATGGGCCTTTGAACATCAACATGTTTTTTAAGTAAATGGTTTTTGGCACGTGGTTGGCTGTAACCTTACAGCAGTTAACACGAATACTTAACTTACTGGTTTAAGACACAAATCTTTGTCTCTTATTAATTTTCCACATCTGGTTAAAAGTTTAAGCCCAGGTTCGTGGTATTTTTCCAACAGGTTGCTGGGATGAGGGCTATCAAAGTCGTTCAAATAAATTTCTTGAAATTAGTGTGATGACGTGAAATATTCTGATTATAGTGACAGTGATCTTAGAAAGATTGCAATAGCAACTCACACAGACAGAGATTGTTATAAACCTGTATAAAGTATTATGACAATCAGGTAAGAAATGAACTCTGTAAAACCATGACATCAAACATTTTATTTATAGTTATAGTGACATTTTTCTTGATCCCAAAAGGTGGAAAGCCAAATTCAGAGAAGTGAAGATGTTTATGAATACTCATATGACGTTTCATGACAGATGATAGAAAATGAAGTCTGTTGAGGGTTGACACCAAAATTCT